CCCGTCAAACCTTTTGAAGAGCTGCCCCTGTCAGTCGCCGGCGGCCCCCGGCCCGGCAGAGCTCAGCAGCCCCCGCCCTTCCTCCGACCGGCCCTTTTCCCCGCTTTTTATTCACAGGAAGAAGGAGCTTTTGCAGGGGATTTACATCATGGGCTTCAACAGACCATCCAAAATCCAGGAGACGGCTCTGCCGATCATGCTGGCTTATCCGTGAGTCGCTGCGCCCCGCGGGCGAGCCCCGGCTCCCTCCCCGGCCGCGGGACGCCCCACCCTTGCGCCCCACTAAGCAGCCTTTGCCTTGCAGGCCCCAAAATCTGATTGCCCAGAGCCAGTCAGGGACAGGGAAAACAGCAGCTTTTGGCTTGGCCATGTTGAGCAGAGTTAATGCCGCTGAGAAATACCCGCAGGTAACGAAGGAAAGGGAGAGCTGGCGCAGGAAGGGTTTGCCCCAGCCCTCGGGCTCTGGGGTTTGTCCCATCTCTGATTTTACCTGCTGGAGGGAGATGAAAACCCCCCCAGGTACCGCCGCAGCGGCAGGTAGGGCAGCAGGCCGCTACAGGGAGGTACTTTGGCATTCGAGCGGCGGATTAAGCCAGGCTTTAGAAATCCCAGGATTTAAGTTTTAAAAAGCAACCGCAGAGGCTGCTGGGTTTCCCGGAGGCTGAAAGGAGCCCCGGTCGCCTCTCTGCGTGCAGCCAGCTTGGGTGCTGCCCTGTAAGGCCTCTCCTCCCAAGCGTATGGCCTGGGCCCGTCGCTGGGCGCAGCGACGATCCGCTCCGCGCTCCAGGAGGCAAATTTCCCCCATGGAAACAGCCACCGTGACTTCCTCCGGCCCACATCCCTCGGGCTGTGCTGCGCTCCCAGTCCCCGAGCTCCGACCGCGCCATCCCCCTGCGCTCTCGAGGGAGTTGAGCGGGGTGGGATTTTCCTGTGGGATTTTCTTCCTGTTTCTTCAAAACACCTCCTCGTCCGCCCGGTGTGTCCCGTCCCGGGAGCGCCCTCGACTTCTAAGCGAGGCGTTTCCTGCCTGACGGCTCTCTCCTCTCCCCCCAAGTGCCTCTGCTTGGCTCCCACCTACGAGCTGGCCCTGCAGATCGGGCGCGTGATCGAGACCATCGGACGGTTTTGCGCCGACATCAGGGTGACGTACGCTGTCCGGGGAAACCGAGGTGAGTCCGGTCCCTCCGAGCAGAGCTGCCGGCGCCGTAACGGGAGCGTTAAGTGAGTGCAGGGGCCCTCCCTTGGAGCCTCGAGCTACCAGGAGCCGCGCGAAATGGCGTCTGCGTTCCCCTTCCCGACTCCCCGGGGCTGGAGGGAAGCGTCAGCCCCTGCTTGCAATTTTGATGTCAAGCTCCGTTTTGCGACGCCCCCCCTCAGAGGCCGGAATAACCTGAGATGATAAATCTGGGAAAACTCCTGCCCGGAGGCGGTCGGGTGCCATTCCCCCTCCGGCAGTTCCGCAGGGCGTGCTGCTGGGGGAGCAGATCGTCATCGGGACGCCAGGGACCATGCTGGACTGGTGTTTCAAACGGCGAGTCGTGGACGTGAGGAAGATCACCCTGTTCGTGCTGGACGAAGCCGACATCATGATCGACACTCAGGGCCTCTCCTGTCAAAGCATCCGCGTTCAGAGGTGGGTATTCCCGATGCCTGGCATCCTGCCTCCCTGGGTTTTCCCCCCTCCTCTTCACTCAGCTCTGGGGGAATCGGTCGCCAAATGAGCCCAATCAGTGGGGAAAGAGGGCGCTGAGGGGGCACCCGGGGTAACGTGAGTCTGGGGATCCGGCTTCCCGCGCACGGCGGGATTTCCATCTCGCTTCCCTTTCAGCCGCTACAGCCCGTGGGCCGGGCTCCCTCCCTCCTGAAGGCGACACCCAATCTGGTTAAATCAGCTTTTAAATAAGACAGCGTTTTTTTTTTTTTTTTTAATTCTACCAAGCACCTCTGGGCACCTGGCCCCCACGAGGCCTTTCTCTCCTCTCCCAGGGCTTTACCCAAGGGCTGCCAGATGCTGCTCTTCTCGGCCACCTTCAAGGAAACCGTGCGGGCGTTCGCCATGCAAATCGTCTCCAACCCCATCGTCATCAAGCTGCGTGAGGAAGAGCTGGCCCTGAGCAACATCCGGCAGTACTTCTTCGTCTGCCGGAGCAGGGAGGAGAAGTACAGAGCCCTCTGCAACATCTACGGCAGCATCACCATCGGCCAGGCCATCATCTTCTGCCAGGTAAGGGCGGCCCGGCGCGCGCGCGGCCAGCGAGGGCAGGAATGGTTCGTTCTGCAGCTCAGATGTGGGGCCCCAAAATGGAGGAGCGGGGACATGCCCTGCGTGTCCTTGCCCCTGGTGCCGCGTGAGGCTTCTCGCTCGTCGGCATGGGCTTTGCCTTGTTCTGAGGCGCTAGAAGGCTCCCGCAAAAGGAGCAGGGGACTCGGGAGGGGGAGAGGTGGGGGCGCAGGGCTGGCCGGCAGCGAGGGCAGAGCTGCTCCGAAACCTCCGG